CCTCTTGCCCCACTGCTGTTCCTCTCCACCTCCTTTGGAGGCTCCGCATCTGCCTCCCAACCTGGCCATCAGTCTTCCCCCTCTACACTAACTCTCTCAGACTCCATCCCGTTCTGTGGCTTTCAATAACGCCGACATGCCAAGGTCTCCCAAGTTGTATGTCCAGCCCTAACTTCCCCTCCACGAACTCCGGACTCTACTACCCAACTCTCCATCTAATCTCTACTTGGATGCCTCCTACATATCTCAAATCATGTCCCAATTTAAACTAGTGATGTTCTCACCTCCCTACTCCTTCCCCGTCAGTAAATGGCACCACCACTCATCTGCCTGACCCAATAAAAACTACGAAGGTATTCTTCCTTTCCCTTCTCTGCACTACTCCAGATTCTGCACATTCCACCTGCAGAATGTGTTCCCCAGCTAGTCACTACGGCCACTAGTGTTGTTGCCACATGCCTCGTGTCTGGAAACCTTAATAGTCTCCTCACAGTCTCCCTGCTTCTACCCTTGCTCACTCCAGAATTTTCTCCTCCCAGATGATATTTTTAAAGCAGAAATCATACCACATCACACTCTGCTTTTAGCATCCCTAAAACATTGCACCTAAAATAAAACTGAAATCCTTAAAAGGCACATGACACTAATAAACTGGTTCCACCTCCCACTACTTTTTTCCTTGCTCACTTCACTCCAGCCACTGTGGCCTCCTCATTGTTCTGCAAACGTGTCAAGCATCTTCCTGCCTGAGGGCCTTTTGCTTGGAACACTTTCCAGCAGGTATCTACTAAACAACAGGCTCTCTTTCTTTGTTCAGGTCTCTCTGCTCAAATGTTGCCTTGCGGAGCCTTCCCTGATCACACTTTCTAAAACAGCACCCCCTGACACCTCACCTGCATCACACACTAGTCCCTTATCCTGCTTTATTCCCCCAGGCACTTAATACCATCCAACATTATATTCAGTGTTTTTTCATTGCCCTTTGTTCCCATTCGAATGTCATTCCAGTGAGAGCAGGGGCTCGTCTGTCTTGTCCACCATTTCCCCAGTGCCTGTACACAGTGTGAACGAAGGAAGGATGGAGAGAGTGAAAGCAAATACGCAGAGGAAGAGAGGGCAGCCTGGGGGTCCAGCAGTCCTCCAGCAGAGAGGACACTGGCATCCAGTTCCTTGGACCTCTTGTGCAAGCTCAGACCTAGGTAAAGCCATCAGAGCTCCTGGCGGAGGCAGCCCCTGGGTAGGAACAGGCCCTGGGCTAGGACACAGTGCCCCCTGGTGACCAGGACACTTGCGACTCCAAGGCAAGGCCCTGAAGTCCTGGTTTCTAAAGACTTTCTGTTCCAATCTGGTTGGAACCTCAGAGCAATTGCCATGAAGCAAAGAGGCTTAGATTTAAAAATTTTAAAAATTATATTTTTATTAATTTCAGAAGAGAAAGAGAGAGACATCAATGATGAGAGAGAATCATTGATTGGCTCCCTCCTGCACGCCTTCACTGGGGATCGAGCCTGCAACACAGGCATGTGCCTTGACCAGGAATCGAACCAGGACCTGGTTCATAGGTCGACGCTCACTGAGCCACGCCAGCCAGGCGAGGCTAGGATTTTTTTTTTTTTAATTGATTTCAGAGAAAGAGAAAGAAACACCACTGGGTTGCAACCTAGGTATGTGCCCTGTCTGGGAATCACACCCGTGACCCTTCAGTGCATGTGACAACACTCCAACCAGCTGAGCCAGGGCAAGAGGCTTAGATTTTTAATAAAGAAAAGCATGCCAGACTGGGTGCTCAGAGACCTGGGTTCTAGTTCTGGCCATGTCCCTGACTCTCTGGGTAACCTCCAGTGTGAACTGAGACTTGCTCAGCTAGCAAGGGGTGGCTTGCACTGTGGGGTGAAGGGGTCCCTACTGCAGCCACCCTTTCGAGGAGCCTCCTCTCAGCTGCTCTATTGCCGGCAACCTGATTGTTCATGAAAAGATGTCATCAGGAGTGTCCGTAAGTGGGGCCAAAATCTGCCCCCAAATCATGACTTCAACATTTTTCCAGGCTTTGACCTCTGTGGCCACGTACACCCTGGGAGCCGCACAGAACACACACGTCATCCCTCAACCTCCCTTCACACATGACATTTTGAGACGCATTTTTTAAATATATTTTTATTGGTTTCAGAGAGGAAGGGAGAGGGAGAGATAGAAACATCGATGATGAGAGAGAATCATTGATTGGCTGCCTACTGCACGCCCCCCGCCCCCACACTGGGGATCTATCCCACAACCTGGGCATGTGCCCCGACTGGAATCAGACTGGTTCATAGGTCGACGCTCAACCACTGAGCTATGCGGGCCGGGCTCAAGATGCATTTTAGATGCCCAGAGTCTAGCATCCGGTTGCACTCTTTTTTCTTTTTGTTTTGTTTTTTTTGTTAATCCTCACCTGAGGATATTTTTTCCATTGCCTTTTAGAGAAAGTAGAAGGGTGGGAGAGAGCGAGAGAGAGAAACATCGATGTAAGAGAGACACATCAATTGGTTGCCTCCCGCATTCGCCCTGACCAGGGCCAGGATCAAACCTGCACACAGATATGTGCCCTTGACCAGAAATTGAACCCGCGACCCCTCAGTCAGGGCCAGTTTCACTCTTAAATCCTGAGTTTGTGGGAGAGGTCTGCGGTGAGGATTCGTAGTTAGTCTGTGAGATGTAGAGACAGAATTGGCTCACTTAGGGCTATGGTTCCTAATCCTGGACCCACACTGCAATCACCTGGGGAATTGACGAAACCGCCCTGCTGGACTGAAGCCCAGCCCGTGGTGTGGGCCCAGGCATGGGCCTCTTTTAAGGACTCCCAGGTGATTCTGTGTGCACCCATGGTTGAGCTACACTGTGTCTGAGGTCACAGCTCCTAGCAGAACTCAGGCAGAGGAGGAGGGAAACCAAGTGAAGGAGGGCTGTCAAGTACTGCTGAGAAGTTGGGAGAGTCCGGGTCACAAAGGGAGCCCAGGTTGCTTTTGTTTGGGGGAACAAGGAGGTTGGTGAGCGGATATAATGGATGTAATGAAATAGTGGGCACCACTGGGAGATGAGTAGGTGGAAGGGAGAATGGGAGGTGAGAAAATGGAGATCAGAGGACTCAACAACTCTTTTGAGGACTTTCTCTGTGAAGAGGAACAGAGAAGTGGGGAGATGCTAAAGGAGAATTCAAGTTCAAGGGAAAGTTTCTTTTATAGTTGTGAAGTCATAGAGCATGTTGGTGTGGCTGGAAATGATCATGATGACAATGATGGAATTAATGGGTGGAAGAGAGAGGGGACAGCTCCGTGTGCTGAGCTGGGAGGCGAAAGGATCTGGGGTTGGAGCACAGATGTCTTGGGAAAAGGGTACTTCTGTCATAGGCCATGAGGAGACGGTGCAGATGCTGGTGCACTTGTAGGTGAGGTGGTGGGAGGTGGGGGGTATTCACCTATTTTTTTTAAACATTCTAAGTAGACATTTTATTTTGTTAATTATTTTTTATTTTTCAATTGCAGTTGACATTCAGTATTATATTAGTTTCAGGTGTGAATGGACAGGGATGAAGGGGAGATGTGAAGGTCTTGAGGAGGAGAAAAGCAGCTACTGTGGGGTGATGCAGGATCTCTGAGCAGCATGGAGAGCCTGCCTATGTGAGGTTTGAGACCACTCTGGTAAAAACAATGCAATCAGCCTGGTTGCATGAATTTCTCTGGCCGTGGGCAGCTGCCAGGCACAGAAGAAAGTTGGGCCACCCAAGGCCCGGCTTTGCTGGACAAAGATGGAAGGAGAGAGGTGTGGGAGGGGGTGACTCCATTGGTGGAGCACAGAATCTAAGTGGGACGAGGATAGAGTAGTGGACAGCAGCCATGCAGGTAGCCAGAGGTCACTGCAGCTCCGGGCAGTGGGGAGGAGCCGCATGTGCCATGCTAGAGGAAGTGGGCCGGAAGGAGAAGAGGAGGTGGCCAGAGGCAGATGCTTGGAAATAAGATTGTGTCACTGTGACATGACAATGGAGACTTACTGTCATGAAGACAAAACTGTCGGTGTGCCAAGGGTGTTGGCAGCTGAGGCAGAGTTGTGGTCAGGAGGCCAGGTCCTCAGGGGCAGAATGCTTGTGTACATGAGGCCCCAGGGTTGGTGACAGGAAGTAGCATGAGGGGAGGACAATAAGGAAGGCACTGAAGTCTTTAGGAGCCGTGCTTAAATCCCTCTGACTGGGGGCTCCTTGAACACAGCAATGTTCCCAGTGCCTGGCCCAGAGTAGGCGCGTGGTAAAACACGCAGCGAAGGATTAATGAATGTATGCCTACTGTGTAATTTGATCTTTAGCCTTGACAGTTGAGGACACTGAGGCCGGGGTTCGCTAGTGTCTGAGCACTTTTGCTTCTCAGCAGGAGCAGGGTTTTGGGATGTGCACACATGATGAAATCCCTTCCACCCACCCCTCCTGCCACCCCCATCACCTTCTCCCCAGCTCCGACTTCCCAGTCTCCAGTTGGGCTCCCTCAAATTTGGCCTCCACACTGCTTCTTCCATAGTCCGATTGTTCCTCCACTGAGAATGAGACCAACGCAGGATGGTCAGGCTTCTCAGGCTCCGCCACTTACTCCCTCTTTGCCCCTTAAGCCTCTGTATACACACTTTTCCCTTCCTCTCTGTGCCCAGTGTGCCCGCCCTTGGCCTGGAAGCCCTGGGGCTCCCTGCCCGCCCAGTGCAGTCCTCCCTGCCCTTCACACGCCTCACTTCTCCTCTGCCCGACTGTCCGCCCCTACTGCACATGGAGCCATAATTACCTGCACCCTGCCCACCTGCTGGCTTGGACTTGAGACCACTGGTAGCAGAGGTCAGGTCATCCATGTCCCTAGAACCCAGCAGAGGGCACTGGTGTCTGCTGCAAAGCATGTGAGGGAGGGTCTGTGTGCCTGTGTGGACCCCAAGTGCCACTACCAGGAGCTGAAGTGAGGAGGTGCGGGGTATGGACCACAAGGCCGGACCAGGAGGGGAGCTAGAGGCTTTATTCTCAGCAGACCTGTACACTATACACTGGGGGGCTGGCAGGGCTCTTGAGGGGCCTCCTCAGGCCACCTGCCTTGGCCCCAAAGGCCAGAGCAGATGCAGGGTTGTGTCCCCAGATACCCATTGTTTGCCCACCCTCTTGTCCCAGGCCAGGTCCCCCCAGGTGTTCAGGGCCTATCGCAGGGAGCTGGGACCTTCTTCCGCTCTCGGCTCAGCAGCGTCACCAACTTGGCCTTGAAGCCTGAATGGGCACCAGAGCGGCCAGAGACCCCGGCCTCGTCGCCATTGTCATCAAGGTCCAGCTCCAGCAGCCGTCGGTACTGGGCCTCCAGGCTGCTGTCATGGGCTGGGCCAGGCCAGCCCAGGTCCTTGCTGTTGTGGTAGATGGGGCTGGCTGGGGGGCTGAAGCCACCAGGGCCCTCCTGCTCAGGGTCCCCCAGGTCGGGTGGTACGGGGCCAGCTTCTAGGGCACACAGATTCTCGTAGAGGTGCTCAGCGCCGGCCAGGGGCCCGCTGGTCCGCTTGCACACGGCAGCGTACAGCCCAGACTCCAGGGGCAGCGGGGGCAGGCTCTGTGGCCCAGGATCGGCCAGGAACACCCTACGAGAGTCTGAAGGCTCAGACCCTGGGGGCAACTCCCGCAGCTCTCCAGGAGGCTCAAGTGAGGGCAGGGAGGTGGCCCGAGGCAGGGGGCAGGGCCGAGGCCCCACCAGCTCAGGCAGCCGCTCCTTCTGGCGGGCGATGGCCGCAGTCACGACCCCGCACAAGTCTCGAGCTCGGTGGCTGCTAAAGGCGAAGAGGCCCTCGCCTGAGTCACAGCGGCGGCCAGCTTCGAAGGAGAACACGTCCTGGTCATGGGTGACATGGGCGGGTCAGCTGCCAAGGGGTTCCCCCATCTCCCACTGTCCCCTAGTCCCCTCCACTGCAGGCCCAGTGCCTCACCTTGTCGGAACCAAACTTGCGCAGGAAGTGGTAGGGCCAGGTGTAGAGGGCCTGCGGGCTGCCTGGCTCGCTCAGCTGGATGGCATCTTGGCCCAGCAGCAGGATATAGGGCCCCTTCAACTGGCAGCGGGCAGCTGCCTCTGTCCTCTGCACCACCACCGGAAATGTGCCCACTGCAAGCAGAGGGTGGAGACGCTACGGTCCCCCAGAGGCCCCAGCCCTGGGTGTGGTGGCACTGGGGCTGCCCTGCCCCTCCCTGACTCACCTTCCTGCCAGGAAGAGTAGATGGAGTTCTCTTCCATGGGGACCAGGCCCCGCTTGGGAGCCTCCGCCTCCCCTGATCCAGAGGAAAATTCCCCTGTGGCCTGGGGAAAGGGTCAAGGTCAGAGATTAGAGTCTCCCCGCCGTCCCCCACCCCACCCCCCGGCCCCCCAGCCCCCAACCTCTTCCTGCATCCTTTTCATGTGGAGAGATGTCACCTGACACACTGCACAACCCTGGGCACCCCTCTGAGCCGATTTCACTCCTGTAACCTTATTCTTCCCCCTGGGATACTGAGAGCGGTACGTCAGCGACACACAGCAGGATGGCCCCTCACCCTTGCATTAGGCTAGGGACCAGGCCAGCCCATGTGTGTCCCCCACAGGTTAGAGTGGTGAAGGGGCTTTGGGGGTGCAAACAAGTGAACTGGCCATTCACTCCTCCCCCAGTCCTCTGGCTCCATCTCACCCCTCCCTACCCCTAGTTCCTGCATGTAATTCACACTGATCTCAGCACCTCAACCATGACCACCTGGCCCATGGTAGCATGGCCAGGGCCAAATGCTGTGGGTTCCTCGCTGGTCACCTTGCTCCTATTCATTTCTTTTTCTTTTTTTATTGTTTTTAAATAAAAAAACTTAAATACACAATATAAAATTTACCATTTTAATCGTTTTAAAGTGTATAATGCAGTGTTTTTCGTAAAGTCATCAGGTTTGCAATCAAGGTTGTGCAATCATCATCTTTATCTAGTTCCAGAACTTCTCATCACTCCACATTAAAACCCTGCCCAGCCCCTGGCAAACACTAAGCTGCTTTTGGTTCTATGGATTTGCCTAATCATACAAGAGGTGGCCTTTTGTGCCCGGCTTCTTTCACTTAGTTTAATGTCTTCGAGGTTCATCCACTGTGAAGCACGTCTCACTACTGCATTCCTTTTTATGGCTGAGTAATGTTTCATTGTATGGACAGACACATTTGGCTTATCCATCATCAGCTGACAGACATTTGGATTGTTTGGGCTTTTGGGAATAGTGCTGCTCTGAACATCGTATGTTTTGTTTGAACATGTTTCAATTCTCAAGAGACTTGCTGGGTCATATGGTAACCCTTATGTTTCACTTATTAAGGAACTCACCGGACTCATTTCCTTTTGGCCCATTACAGACCCTGTGAAGCTTTAAAACTCAGTCCCTAGCTCAAACCCACCAAAGGCTTCTCCTCTCACTCTTAATAAAACCCCAAACTCCACATGTGGCCCAAGGTGGTTTCAGCTGGCTTCCACCGGACTCTCACCTCGCCTCCTCCTGGGCCCTCCCACTCCTTGCCCTCCGGCCAAACCAAACTTTTCTCTGCCTCAAGGCCTCTACCGCACTGCGCTCACTCCGTCCAGGACACTCCTTGGACCTCAGTGCCTGGGATACTCTCCTCAGATGTTTGCCTGGTGGGTTGTCCTTCAGGACTCAGACCTACTGTCCCCTCATGAGAGGCCTCCTTAGACCATCCTGCCTAAGGCCCCCTGGTTTACTCCTGGTCCCACCCCTGCCTTTCATTTTCTCCATACCATGTATGGCCATCAGATTTTTCTGTGGTTTCTGGGCTGTTTCCCAGGCTCATAGGTACTTGGCAGGTGCTTGCTGAGTGACAGGATGTGAGTGAATATGGAATGAATAAGAGGGAGGTGAGCTGGTCCCCCTGGGGCCAGACCTCGGTGCCCGGCCCGCTTGCCCTGTGCTCACCGGGAAGGCCAGCTGGCAGATGGGGCCCATCCATGCCTGGCGGTGCTGTGCGGCCAGCAGGTGGCTTCTCTCCGTGGTGGTGAGTAGGAAGGCACCAGTGTCCCGGGGGCAGCTCTCACCATCAGCTGGCAGCACCGACACGCAGTCGGCCAGGCGGATGACCCGCCGCTCTCCCCGTCGGCTAGGACCTGCAGACCTGTCACCTGCTGGCCCCGTGCCACCATCCCGGACTTCCCAGCTCTCCAGCCGTGCCACGCCTGATGGGCCACCTGCGTAGAGCAGACCCCACACCTTCCGCCAGGACTTCTGTGGGCGGTGAGGATGGGGGTGAAGACCACTGCAGCTCACTCAGCAAACACTCCTGGTCACCCAGGCTGGCCTTCACCTCCCCCAGCTCCTCAGGGCCTCGGAGGAGGAGGCCTTGCCACAGCCAGCCCAGCAGGGGGAGGAGTCTGTGCTTGGGGTCAGTCAGCCCTGGGTTAAATCCACCCCACACTTTCCTAACTGGTACCTCCTTAAGACTAGTGTCCTAGTCTCTCAAAAGGTCATGGCAATGTGAGGCTGGGGCTTCTACTGGATTATGTCTGTAAAGTCTCCAGTGGCTGAAACAGACCACTTGACACTGCTGTTCTGTTGGTGCCCAGCCCCACCCCCCCAAAGGTCACTTGGGCCACAGGACAAGGACTGTGGTGGGAGGGAGGCCTCATTCTCATGATGGCAAGGAAGGAAACATGCAAATAGTGTCAAGCAAAGGAAACAGACCGTTTATCTGCCCGGGCAGCAGCTGCAGCTGAGCTGTGGGGGTGCAGAGCCTGCTGCCTGAGGAGAAGTGAACCCCCTACTATGTCCCATGACAGGCTGGGAGGAGCCGAGCCCTCTTCTGCAGGGTGGGGTTCCACCTCTGGGGTCTCCTTCAGCTCATCCCCTGGCCCTCCGAAGGGTGGAAGGCTGTTGGATTAGCAAGCCTCCCGGCTCTGCCCTGCCCCGAGGTTTGTGTTCTTAGAACTTCCTGACTCTTGGCTTCCCCATCTATAAGTGAGGCAGGGTCTCCCCAAGGCCCACTCAGGCCCAGCTCTTCTGCTCAGGCAGAGGATGGGCCTCTCTCCCATCCCCACATCTGGGTTAGATCCCCCACCCTGATTCCCATTCACCATTCTCCCAGGTCCAGGTGTGGAGGCCCAATTATCCTGGGCAGCCAGGTCCCCACCTTGCCAAACTTGACGTGCTGCTGGTACAGGATGCCATCCTTGACAGGGGTCTCCAGAGGCTCCATGGCCGCGGAGGGCCGGAGGGCCGGAGGGCCACCACTCCGAAGGCCTGAGGAGACTGGTGACAGGCCGAGGGGAACTCCTCACACTTCCCCTTCTGGCCACTTCCCCTCCCTCTGTCCAGAGAGGCAGCTGCATGACTGGGGGAGGGGAATCCCTTCTTCAGTAAAGGAGCTAGAATAGGGGGTGGGGGCATCACATATTTCCACCTTAGGGTTGCAGCTGGCCAAGGTGCTCAGGCATGCCTGGCAGAGGCCTCAGACCGCCTGAGGGCAAAGACCCATGCCTGCACCTGGGTCACTGGGTGTGAGTGAGCGTCAGGCCCACAGGCTGGCCCCCCAGTCATGGGCTCTGACGCCTTCCCTGATCCCTCAGGGGACAGTTGTGCAACCTGGAACCTGCATTCCCACAGCCAGACTGGCGAACTTCCTTTCCTACTTGCAACCCTGGTTGGTTGGCTTATCCTTCTATCAAAATATTTTTAATATTCATTTGCTCCATCTTCACAGCCCCTAATGCCAGCCTGAATATCTCCCTTTGAATCACCACCCCACCTGGGCGCGCTCATCTCTCCCCTTTCTAAACCTTTTCTGGCTTCCCACTGCCCTCAGGTCTAACCTGGGCTCCTCAGCCCAGCACGCAAGGTGTTGAGTCCTGACCCCAGGGCAACCCCTCCAGGGCACCCCTCACCGTGTTCCTCTGGGTGCCAGCTGCTTACTCTGGGAGGACTTCCCTCATCCCTCCATGCTGTCTGAGCGCACAAAGGCCCCAGCAGTGTGCCCAAGTCCTCATGTGTGGCTGGGGCCACCTGAATGTAGGTGGCATGTCCCCAGTGGGCCCCTAGGGAGCTCATATGTTTTTTAAGTTTTGCTTCCTGCTGGGGGCCTTTTTTTTCCCCCCCCTTTGCCTTGCCTTGCTGGAGGCCAGTAACTTGGCTCTGAATGTGGGTCTGAATTCTGAAAACAGCCTCATGTCATTCATTCAAAGCCACCTCTGGAAAGGAACATGTAAACAGGCTGAGGAATATAATTTGGGGGTCACATATGGAGTGTGTTGCTTCTCAGGCAGGACATTTTTTCCAAGTCCTCCTGCACCCGGCTTTGTGCCAAATATGGACCACACAGGCCGGAGCCCAACCTTACAAACACAACCCTTCGCATTCTCACTGCCATTTCAACAATGAGGAAATCAAGGCTCAAACATTAAGTAACTTGCGAAGGCCACACACCAAGTGACAAACATGGCTTGAGCAACTGCTGTCCTGCTGGGATAAGCATGTGGCCTTGCACATGAAGTGTCTGACCGTGCCAGTCCTCTGCCTACCCCTTGCCAGATGTTGAAATCCTGGTCCATTTGTCAAGATATTCGTGACTGCTGCCCATGTTCATTACATCTGATCTCTTTCCTAGTCACCTGTGAGCTGCCCAGAGGAGAGCTTGGCACAGAGCATATCAAAAACTGCTTGTAGCCTGAGTGGCAGTCCTGTGGCACCGGCTGCTTCTCAGCAAACAGAGCGGAGGGTTCCATACCAGGAACAGGGGGCCTGAGGCAGGAAGTTGCCTCTCAAGGGGCCCTAGGAGCTTTGCACAACCGACAAGGAGGCGGCTGGGGCAGGGCTGGAGGTTATGACAGCCAATCAGACACACAAAAACCCAGTCAAGGATTTTGCCTTGTCTGCCAGTGTGGTGCCTCCGAGTCATAAAGATAGATGCCTCCTGCCACAACCAAGCCATCTGGGTGTTGGGGAGAGACCCAGGGTCTGCCTCAGAGGGCTCTCGAGGTCAGAGGGTGAGGTGGCCAGGAAGTAATGGGCAGACAAGGTGAAGCACAGAAGCAGGGCTGGGGCTGAGACTAGAGAGGCTTGTGCTTTAATGGCAACTGGGATAAAGGGGAACAATCATAGTAATTCCAGAGGCACAGAGGGCAGGCAGCCAGGCCCAGCCTAGCCCAAGCCAGCTGGGCCGAAGATGCTGGCTTCTTGTCCAGGGTCTGGTGTGTGGGAGGCAACTGGAACCCAGACTGAGGCCTCTTGGAGAGGGATGACAGACGGCTAGAAGTCCATGGAGCTGTGAGCCAGGTAGTCCTTGCGGCCGATGTTGCTGACCTGTTTGGTCTGCATGGCCTCGAGTTTGGGGCAGTCAGTGATCCGATGGCCCAGGCCCCCGCAGAAGGCACAGCCTCGTTCATCTGGGGGCATAGGGAAATGGAGATCAGCATGGTGACAGGGCCAGGTTCTGTGCCCCAGACCTTGTCCCCCCACCCAACACCCCCATCCACTCATGTGCAATGTAGACTTGTTTCCTGGTGTTCCTGTCATGCCCCCCGCTTCGCAGTCACCTCCGATGACCAGCATGGACTCGTCCCCACAGTGCAGCACTTGCAACACAGGTGGCACCTTCTGCTTGGCCTCCAGTAGCAGGGCTTTGAGGTCCATCAGCACTGACTCATCTGTGGGGGCAGTGGGGAATCATTAGGTCCAACCCTGGGCCCCGTAACCAGGACCTGTAGGACGCGGGAGACAGCTGTGGCGGCTTTGGCAGTACACTCACCGCAGGCCTTGTTGATGAAGGTGGTGGCGATGCCTGTGTTTCCTGAGCGCCCAGTGCGGCCTATTCTGTGCACTGCAGAGAGGAAACAATCTTTGGCCCACTGCCCAGGTCTGGGGCCTAGCCCACACCCCAATCCCACAAGCTCCCACCGTAGTTCTCAATCTCCTCAGGCATGTCGTAATTGATGACGTGCTGGATGGCAGGGAAGTCCAGGCCCTTGGAGGCTACGTCTGTGGCCACTAGAACATCCTTCTTGCCCTCCCGGAATGCCTCGATGGCCTTGGTCCGTTCCTCCTGGTCTGGGGAGGGTCAGGCGGGAGCTGTCAAGGTGACAGCAGGAGCCTGGGGAGTAGTGGTAAACCAGCCAGGCAGGAAACGGGTTAGGTGAGGGCTGCTATAGCAGCCAGGTTCAGGCATACACATATGCCATCCTGACCTTTGCCCCCATGGATGGCCACGGCCTCGACCCCCTTAAGCAGCAGGTACTCATGGATGGCATCCACATCCGCTTTCTTCTCTGCAAAGATGAGCACCTGTTCAGAAAGGCCACCTCGTCACAGGGAGTGCCTCCACCCAACGACCCCAACCTTCCCCAGCATCCTGCCCCTATTGCCCTCTCCCCTCATATTGGGGGTCCTGGGCTGCACTCACGGGCGGGGGTGTCTTCTGCAGGCACTCGAGCAGATACACCATCTTGGCCTCCTCCTTCACATATTCCACCTCCTGCCACCACAGGAGCTAGGTCAGGTGATCCTGAGGACAGGCTCACCAGCCACAGTGCTGCTGCAGAGGCTGGGCCCCCCAATCCCATCTAGGTGATTAGAAACCTCGTGCACCAAGGGCTGGACACCCTAAGAATGTTTCCTGCTAAGGGTTGAGGCTTTGAATGGAACCCCTAGTGCCCCCTAGGTAGACCACCCACCCTGCTCCAATCAGCTTCAAGGGAGTCTCCTAGACCCAGCCCTCCGTGGTGAGATTGCCCACCTGTATGACATCCAGGCTGGCGGCCCCAGCGCGCCCCACATTGATCGTGACAGGCTTCACCAGGGCACTCTTGGCAAAGTTCTGTATTTTCTTAGGCATGGTGGCACTGAAGAGTAGGGTCTGTCGCTGGCCCTGAGAAAGAGCTGGGGCTGAGGGCACATGGGGGCTGGGGAAGCTAAGCAGCTGGGACAGTGGGTGGGCAGCCCTGAGGGTGCAGGAGTACCCTGGCCAGGCAGGGACGGGTACCTTGAAGTAGGAGAAGATGGTGCGGATGTCACCCTCAAAACCCATGTCAATCATGCGGTCAGCCTCGTCTAGGGCCAGATAGCGACAGATGTCTAGGCTGACCATCTTCTTTTGCAGTAGATCCATGAGGCGCCCAGGGGTGGCCACCATCATGTGCACACCACTGGGGACCAAGAGAGACCTGAGGTCAGGCCACCTGCTCAGCCCTTCTTAAAGGCTGGCACTGTGACTCACCCGACTCTGGCCTCCTTCCTGTCTCTCCTCACCTGTCCCCTCCTCATCACTCCCACCACTTTGCCCTGGGTTCAGCATACATTTCTACTGGAGCAAGCTGCAGCCTTCTCAACCAATGCTGTCTGTATTCCGGAGCTTTTCCCACCAATGTTTTGACCTCTGCCATTCCTTCTCCTGGGGGGCTGTTCTGAATCTCCAAATAGCCTCAACCTGCACTCCCCCAGCTCCCTCCATAGGCCTGGAAGGGCTCACTTTACTGGCATACTGAATTCAACTGTTCTGTATCTTCCCTGAGACTGGAATGCCTATCAAGCAGGCACTGGGTGTGACCTGTCTTGTGACCCCAGGCAACTGGTGATATCTACTGGGGACTGACTGCACTGTGTGGAAGAGCAAGGGTCCAGCCCTGCCCCAGGGCCTTAGCCTCCTTGCTGGACTACATACTGAATGGCCCTAACCTTTCTGAACACCCCAGGCCCACCACCTTTGTCTTTTGCCTGGAATGCCCCAATCCTCTGACTTTCCAGATGCCTCTGTTCCAGTTACTATGTTCCCATAGTCCCTCACCACATCCCCCTGTCCCACCCCAGCTGACCTCTTGCATGAGACTGGGAGCCCTTTTAATTAGGCCTCTGCAAGGATCTGCAGAATAGCTAAAGTTTATCTAGACGCTTTGGGGAGGCCCTAGGGTGAGGGGTGCTTATGCTCACTGTCGGATGGTCTCCATCTGCTCTTTGACAGACATGCCCCCGATGCAAAGTGCGCAGCGCAGGAGTGGTGAGCTGTCCTCCTGCAGCAAGCGGCAATAATACTCCAGGATGCCGTGGGTCTGCCGGGCCAGCTCTCGCTGCAGATACAGGGGCAGGGGCTGGTACCAGAAGACAGTCTCACTGGTGCCCTGCCCTCCAGGCCAGCCTATTTTACCGAGGGACAGATAATGAGTCCATAGGGCCCTTCACGCTTGGAGAAAGGTAATCTCTTTTCTTGTTCCAGGCAGAACATGATGACAGGCAAAGTGAACACCAGCGTCTTGCCTGAACCCGTGAAGGCGATGCCTATCATGTCACGGCCGGATAGACTGTTGGCAGAGGACAGGTCTGTGGGTCAAGTTCAGCAGAATACAGCAACTGCCCATCACTGCCCTCCTCAGGACCCCCAGGTCCACACTCACATGGTGGGGATACCCTGGATCTGAATAGGCGTTGGGTGGTGGATGCCTTTCTTCTTCAGGCCTCTCAGGATGGCTATGGAAAACAACCCTGACATTATCTTACGTCTCACAGGTGCTTTATCAGGCCCCAAAGCCGTAAAACTGCTACCATTCCCCTCAAGTTACAAATGATGAAATAGAAACAGGGAGAGGGAAAGAAAAGACAGAGAGACCTGTTCAAAGCTCCTAGGCTAAATGGAGACAGAATTCACCCCAGATCTGCCTAAGGCCAGCCTCACTTGTCCAATTAAGCTTCCTAGTGGCACAGAATAGTGAATATCTTCAGCTGGCACAACTGAAAAAGCAGCCTAAAGAAACTCCTCCTCAAATCCCCCCCATCCCCGCTGGCTATGCTGCTGAGCTCAGTGGGAACTAGGACACAACCTTACAGACATTTAACTACCAAGTGTGATGCCACTCCCACTCCCAGGTACCTGCAGGAAATTTCATTTCCTTGAAGCTCTTGATGGGTGGTGGGATACCATCTCCTTCCACCAGGATGTGGTATTTTTTCCGTACACGCTCATGCCGCTCTTCAGACATACTCAGGATATAACGGGGAGGTGTCCAACTGTGAGTGATGGTAGGGGTCAAGAGAGGCCCTGGGTATAGCTGCCTTTGGCATGTGCCTGCCAGTCTCAGCCACAAACTATTCCAGGTAAGGGTAACTGCTCTTCCAGAGACTATAAAGTATACCTGGTTTTGATTGGATCATCATATGTGATTCCCTTGGCCATCTCCTTCACTGACATCAAGGCTGAGAAGAGAGATGTGGCTCAGGGCTGGCTTCTCCTTCCCAGAGGCCAGGCCACTTCCTCCCTGCCCAGGCTACAACCATACCTCGGCCCTCAGCCACACTCTCCAGGATCTTCTCCTCTTCCTTCAGCTGCTTTTCCTTGGCAGACTCCTTGCGGGCTGAGGAGAAAAGCAGACAAATGTCAGAGACACCAAAGCAGTGCACCACGCTGAGCCTCCCGCCACTGCTGAGCCCACCTTCAGCCTTCTCTTTGAGGTGTTGGTGCTGATCCAGGAGGCTGACATTGGACTGAGGGCCCAGAGGGATGTCGTCCTCATCTCCCCGGTGGTCACTGCCACTGTCCTGCTGCTCCTCCTCCGCGGCTCCCTTGCGTCTTCGCTGTAGCAGCTTCTGGAGCTGAGGAGGGTCCAGCAGCGCCCCTCAGAGCCAAGCCCGACACAGAGCTGGGCATCGCGCCCAGGAGCTGCGGCAGGATCCTGGCTTTGGGAGAAGATCGTGCCCCGAGGTGCAGAGCTGCTCTACCCCTCAGATTAGGTCGCCAGTCCCTCGGGTTGTGCCTGAGGCCACGCTCCCGTGTAGATCCCCTCACTCCACAGACCACTGAGAAACGCCCACCCCTACTCTCACTCCTCCTTAGACCCAGGCCCTCACCAGCAGCTGTCGGCGCTGTCGCAATGGCACGTAGGGCACATAGTCCTCGTCGTCCTCATCCTCCGCCTCGGAACGGCTTCCT